CAGTTATCTGATTGATGTGCGCCTCAGGAGATATGCTCGGTGTTATACTCACCCCCAGATCTTTTTCCTTGAGTGAGGTTTGCAGTCTTTGGCCATCTAAACTATATTGTGTCTGCGGTCTTCTTTGCCCTTCCCCAATCTTCATGAGTGTCTGTGTGTGTGTGTGTGTGTGTGTACTCACCTATTTGTACTCACCTATTTGTGGTTGCAGGGGTCGAGTCCTAGCTCCTGGCCCCGCCTCTTCACCGGTTGCTACTAGAGGCCCTCTCTCTCCCCGCTCCATGAGCTTTATCAAACCTCGTCTTAAAACTGTGTATGGTTCCTGCCTCCACTACGTCATTTTTCTAGGCTATTCCACTGCCTTACAACTCTATGAACTGAAGAATACTCCTACTATCTCTCTGACCCCATTTGTGTTTCAACTTCCAATTGTGGCCTCTTGTTTCTGTTCCCCTCCTGGAACATCCTGTCTTTGTCCACCTTGTCCCATTCCACGCAGTATTTTATTATGTCGTTATCATGTCTCCCCTGACCCTCCTGTCCTCCAGTTGGGTCAGGCCGATTTCCCTTAATCTTTCTTCATAGGACATTCCCCTTAGCTCTGGGGAAATAACCTTGTCGCAAACCTTTGTCTTTTGTGTGTGTGGGGTGTGCGTGTGTGTGTGTGTGGTGTGGGGTGTGTGTGTGTGTTGTGGTGTGTGTGTGTGTGTGTGTGTGTGTGTGTGTGTGTGTGTGTGTGTGAGTGTGTGGTGTGGGGTGTGTGTGGTGTGTGTGTGTACTCACCTAATTGTACTCACCTAAATTTTGGTTGCAGGGGGCGAGACTCAGCTCCTGGCCCCGCCTCTTCACTGATCGTACTGGGTCCCTTCTCTCTCTTGCTTCCTGAGCTTTGTCATACCTCTTCTTTAAAAATATGTATGGTTCCTGCCTCCACTACTTCACTTGCTAGGGTATTCCACTTGCTGACAACTCTAATGACGAAGAAATACTTCCTAACGTCCCTGTGACTCGTCTGAGTCTTCAGCTTCCAGTTGTGACCCCTTGTCCCTGTGTCCCCTCTCTGGAACATCCTATCTCTGTCCACCTTGTCTAATCCCAGCAGTATCTTGTATGTCGTTATCATGTCTCCCTTGACCCTTCTGTCCTCCAGTGTCGTCAGTCCGATTTCCCTTAACCTTTCCTCGTACGACATTCCCTTGAGCTCTGGGACTAGCCTTGTTGCAAACCTTTGTACTTTCCTATACTTCTTGACGTGCTTGACCAGGTGTGGGTTCCAGACTGGTGCTGCATACTCCAGTATGGGCCTAACATACACAGTTTACCTGGAGTTTACCTGGAGAGAGTTCCGGGGGTCAACGCCCCCGCGGCCCGGTCTGTGACCAGGCCTCCTGGTGGATCAAAGCCTGATCAACCAGGCTGTTGCTGCTGGCTGCACGCAAACCAACGTACGAGCCACCCGCCCGGCTGGTCAAAGGGAAACCCACTTTAGGTGCTTGTCCAGTGGGCCCGCTTGAAGACTGCCAGGGGTCGTTGGTAATCCCCCTTAGTATGCTGGGAAGCCCGTTGAACAGTTTTGTGTAAAATGTCTTGACGATTCCCCTTTTTAAGGTTCGGAACGCTATTCTCAGGTTTTCCAGGCGCCCGTATGCTGCAGCAGTTATTTGGTTGATGTGTGCCTCCGTGATGTGCTCGGTGTTATGGTCACCCCCCAAAGGGCTTTCTCCCGAGTGAGGTCTGTAGTTTTTGTCCACCTAGCCTATATTCTGTCTGCGGTCTTCTTTGGCCCCTCCCCAATCTTCATGACTTTGGGATTTGGCTGGATTGAATTCGAGAAGGGCCCTTACTGGACCACATGTCCAGCCTGTCCAGGTCTCTTGCAGTCCTGCCTCATCCTCGTCCGATTTAATTCTTCTCATCAACTTCACGTCATCTGCGAAAAAGGGACACTTCAGAGTCCTTATTCCTTTTCCCTCATGTCGTTCACATATATCAAAAATAGCACTGGTCCTAGAACTGACCCCTGTGGGACCCCGCTCGTAACAGGCGCCCACTGTGATACCTCTTCCACGTACCATGACTCGTTGCTGCCTCCCTGTCAGGTATTCCCTTTTCCATTGCAGTGCCCTCCCTTTTACATGCGCCTGATCCTCCAGCTTCTGCACTAATCTCTTGTGGGGACTGTGTCAAAGGTCTTCCTGCAGTCTAGGAAACGCAATCTACCACCCCTCTCTCTCGTGTCTTACTTCTGTTACCTTGTCATAAAAACTCCAGGAGGTTTTGTGATACAAGATTTGCCTTCCATGAACCCATGCTGGTTTTCATTTATAATCTTGTTCCTTTCCAGGTGTTCGACCACTCTCCTCCTGACAATCTTCTCCATGACTTTGCACACAATACATGTCAGAGACACAGGTCTGTAGTTTAGTGCCTCGTTTCTGTTTCCTTTCTTAAATATGGGGACTACATTAGCTGTTTCCATTTCTCAGGTAGTTGCCCAGTTTCAAGGGATGTGTTGAAGAATTGTGGTTAGAGGCACGCACAGCATCTCTGCTCCTTCTCTAAGGACCCATGGGGAGATGTTGTCCGGTCCCATCGCCTTTGAGGTGTCAAGGTCACTTAAGAGCTTCTTCACCTCCTCCTCAGTTGTTCGTATGTCATCCAACACTTGTTGGTATATTCCCTCTTGATGTCCCTTCTGTGCTGTCTTCCCACAGCCCTTCCTGTCTCTACTGTAAAAACTTCCTTAAATCTCCTGTTCAGCTCCTCACATACCTCCTGATCATTTCTTGTGAGTTCTCCACCTTCTGTCCTTAATCTGATCACCTGGTCTTTGACTGTTGTCTTCCTCCTGATGTGGCTATACAACAGTTTCGGGTCAGTCTTGATTCTCGATGCTATGTCATTTCATACTGTCGCTGGGGCCATCCCTCCTTACCTGTGCATACTCATTCCTGGCTCTGCGACTGGTCTCCCTATTTTCGTGTGTTCTCTGCCTTCTGTACTTTTTCCATTCTCTATTGCACTTTGTTTTTGCTCCTTACACCGTCGGGTAAACCAGGGGCTCAGTTCTGGTCTTCCCGTTGTTACTGTTGCCCTTGGGAATAAAACCTTTCCACTGCCTCCTTGCATTTTGTTGTTACATATTCCATCATTTCATTTACTGGCTTTCCTGCCAGTTCTCTGTCCCACTGGACCTCCCGCAAGAAGTTCTTCAACCCTATGTAGTCCCCTCTTTTATAGTCGGGCTTTTCCCATTCAAGTCCTGTTTTTCTCTCCACTTGCAGCTCTACTATGTATTTAAAGCGCAGAACCACGTGGTCGCTAGCTCCTAGGGGACTTCATACTTGATGTCCTCAATGTCTGAGCTGCCCAGGGTGAACACAAGGTCCAATCTTGCCCGGTTCATCCTCCCCTCTCACTCTGGTAGTGTCCTTAAACATGTTTTGGTGCATGAGGTTTTCCAGCACCACGTCCAACATCCTGGCTCTCCATGTTTTCGGGACTCCCATGTGGCTCCAGGTTTTCCCAGTCAATCTCCCTGTGGTTGAAATCCCCATAAAACCCGAACTTTGCTCTGCTGGAATGAGCTCTTCTTGCCACCTCAGCAAGTGTGGCCACCATTGCTCTGTTGCTCTCTTCATATTCCCTCTTGGCCTCCTGCAGTTTTCTGTGGTGGATTATACATCACTGCCCAATGACCACTTTTTTGTGTGTGTGTATGTGTGTGTGTGTGTGTGTGTGTGTGTGTGTGTTGTGTGTAGTGTGTGTGTGTGTGTGTGTGTGTGTTGTTGTGTGAGTGTGTGTGTGTGTGTGTGTGTGGGGTGTTTTGTGTGTGTTTTGGGGTTTTGTGTGTGTGTGTACTCAATACATGTGGTTGCAGGAGTCGATTTTACCAACTCTTGGCCCCATATATATATATATATATATATATATATATATATAATATTAATATAATATATATATATATATATATATAATATATATATATATATATATCCATGGTGAAGTGGAACAGAATTCTTCCTCCGTAAGCCATGCGTGTCGTAAGACGCGACTAAAATGCCGGGAGCAAGGGGCTAGTAACCCCTTCTCCTATATATATTACTAAATTTAAAGAGAGAAACTTTCGTTTTTCCTTTTGGGATACAAGGCAACCACATTGGGAGTTGAATGATATCTCTAGGCCTTTCGTGTCGCAATCAGAACATCATCAGGAGCCTGCAGTGTTACAGAAATAAGTAGGAAGTCTAAGCAAATTAGTTCAGAGGAATATTCTAGCTAGAATGAGGTAGGAAGCCAGGCAGCCAGACACTTGGCACCGGTGTGTCTGGCTTCAACCTCATTCTAACTAGAACGTTCCCCTCAGCATATCATAAGGAGCTTGCAAGTTGCAACATTGCAAGCTCCTTATGATATGCTGATTACGACAAGAAAGGCCTGGAGCTATGTATTAAGGGTACAAAGATCTTGGAGAATCTAATGTATAAGTTTTGATGTATAGTGTGTATTTTGCGAGACGTATGAACAATCCACCTAGCTAACACCTGCTACCATTGTTAACCAGTAGAATATATATACTGCTAACTTGTATTTGAGTTAGTTAACTGTTGTGGTTGGTATCCTGAGGCAGGACTGTGAGTCTTGTTATCCTGGTGGGCTACCATCAGGGCATAACCAAAATACCCTATTCTTCTTGTTTTTCTTTAGCCTGGTGTCTAAAGCTCTCACTTCACACGGCGAGGGTCCGGGTTCGATACCCAGCGAGGATACAAACATTGGGAGTGTTTCTTTACACCGGTTGTCTATGTTCACCCATCAGTAAAATGGGTACCTGGGTGTTAGTGGACTGGTGTGGGTCGCATCCTGGGGCAAAACTGACCTAATTTGCAAGAAATGCTCAGCATAACAAGCGACTTTCTATATAGTAGTATGTCACTGGTGTCAGCTATGGTCTTTATACCTTGTACATGTACTTGTAGAAATTAAAGAAGATATTTAAAATGAGCAACTTGAGGGTGAGCTGCTGTGGGATGTGTCAGCGTCCTGGTGGACCTTAATTTGATTGCAGATTTTAGGTCCACTGTAGAAGTGAAGTCACAGTAGCTGTCAGCTCTGTCTGCTGGGAGAGGCTGTTGGTTGTTCCCACTTGGAGATCTCTGAGAGTTTAGACATCCATTGTGTGCACTGATGTTGAGATGTGAGGGATTGAGTGCACACTGCCTGTGGCACACCTGACAGTTTCCTAGTGACGAATTCCACGGTGTTGACTGTCGTGGAAGTTCCTGGAAACCCGGAACATCTTGTGACATTATTACATTGTGATATTAACTAAAAAAAATTTTAGGCACTAGACATAACGCAAAAAAGTCCATAAAATAACACATTAAAATATACTCAATAAATAAAATCCGCGACATTTACGCAAATTTTTCCTTACTGCAGTAAAGACAAACAACAATAATTAAAAGAAATAAATAAGTATACACGTATCCCCCTTGGATGGCCGCCATCTTGAGCAGGTTAGAGTGATGTAAGTAACCTGGAGTTGTGCTCAGTTTTCTTGATCTCAGCGGCTTCCTGCTCCTTAAATGGCCCCCGGGCGCTCAGTTCTGGCCACTCTGAGGAGGTACAAGGTGGTAATATTCTTCCCCCTGGTGACGGTGACCGCCATTGGAGCAGACTTGTGGAGCACCTACAAGTGGAAGAGAGAGGGAGGAGGGACCCGGCCAGCGCCATCATAAACTACCTTATTTTATCCTGTCTTAGGTAAAAAGACACAAGTGCAACTAATGTAACGTTTTATTGTGGCAACGTTTCGCTCACCAAGAGCTTTGTCAGGCTTGACAAAGCTTTTGAAGAGCGAAACGTTGCCACAATAAAATGTCACATTAGTTGCACTTATGTCCTTTTTCCTAATATATTGTTGGTATTTCTACCAATATTATTACCATTTTATTGTAGGTTATTAAGACCCTGGTGGGTTTAGCGCTTAGTTTTTATTATAATTGTAATTAATCTAGGTTGATAAATGACGTGTATGTCTGCAGGTTTATTTTTAAGTGTTCACCTTTAAAAGGGAACTTGTCTTGATGCCTTTGAAGGGCTCTTGATCCAGGTAAATGGTGTACTCCACTTAGCACCTTGATGCCAGTGAAGGGGATTATCTTTTATTCTCAAGGTGATTTATGACCACCTTAAGGGTTTAGTGCTTCCTCGTAACCACGATAATGTTTGTCGAGACGCAAGTTAGTCGAACCATCGATCTTCTTGAAAATACTTTCTTGTTCCTTAGTATATTTTTGTGAATGTAGCTTGGTATACAAATTTTTAATATTGTATCAAAACTAACTATAAAACATTATCTCAATTGAAGGATCTAGGTTCAGTTGCAGTACGAGTATTAACAAGATATTAACGAGAGTTTAGAGTTGTTTTCCAAACATTTCTAAAGGACACCAGTGGAAAGAGGTCACTCTTGACTTTTTTCGGTTAACCTAAGTTCTTTACACATACGCTGTTATGTATGATTATGTAACTGTATTCGTGTATTCCTGAATAAACATACTAACATTGTACCCTTCAAAGGGAAGGACAGTGAGAGGATGGAGAAACCTGTGCCTTGATGCTGGTGAGAGGTCCTTGATAAAAGGAATTGAGCTACATTCCCAGATTTCCTTCCATTTCCAGGGTGTGTATGATCCTCGTAGACCTTGTGCTTCACCATGAATGCACAGGCTCGTATCTTGTTTTTAACTGAATCTATATTAATATTGTTAATTCTTTTTTCAGTACCAGCATGACCTTCTTTGCACATGTGAAGCTCGATCCCCGCTTCTTTTTGAAGCTGTCGGTACCACTTTTAGGTTTCTGCTTTGGAGCCTATCTTGATCGTATTGAGACTGAAAGACTTACCATGTTCAGGTATAATAAGGGTGGTTGTGAAATTTATTTGAGAATGTCGCTTAATGAAATTAAGCTGAATTTTAAATTTTTTTTTTTTAAAAATTGTCAGACATAACCTAATGTAGAGCTGCTTCTTAAATGTGTTCTCAATTTCTACATGTGGTATATTTATCAGTGCTGTGCATATGTATTTTGGACGGGTGGAAGTGCTGGTTTATAACAATAATTCATACTCTTTTACAGGGACAAATCGGCATTATATGGGCGGGTTCTGGCAGAAGGGGAGAAGCCCTCATGGCCTTAGCAACCTCGCACCATCTCATAAAACTGATTGTAAATTATTCTTCTATGTGGATTAAGATGCATAATTAGCTCCTCAAAATGTACAGTACTGTGTAAGTATTTCTGAATAAATTATGAAATAATATTCTCTTTTTAAAACCTATAATTTTTTGGGTGATGGCTGCTGAATGAAGTACAGTATGTTATACAGGTGTGACCTGCTTATACAACAGGTCAGGTTCCTGGCTACTGCTGTATAGTAAAACATAATTATTTTTCACTTTCAAATGCATGTAAAAGCCTGATAACATGTTTACAGTATCATATATTAAGTGAGGCCTAAAAAAATGAATATACACTACATGCATTACTTACCTTAAAATATTTTTGTCCTTATCTTATAGTGAGTGATGAATATATTTATTGTAGGAAGTCTAAATATATGGAGAATGGGTATACGTAATTGAAAAACTTCTGCATAAGTGAAATGCTGTAAAGCAGGGGGCCCTCCCTTGTAGGGGGATTGCTTTCTTAAAATATATATATAATACATACTTGAAATATTAAAGTGGATACGATTTACTTTCTTAAGGCTTTACCCTACAGATTTACTGCTTCTCAAAAAATATATGCAGAGTCCATTCAAGGAGGGTACCATAAAGTTAAGGGCTGTTGATCCAAGGAATTGAAGCTACCCTCCACTTCCTTGGCTCAAACTTGCCCACCTCCAGTTCCCCGACAACTTTGGAAACTGGCGATTATTTCTCATGAACTACCTTTAAATAAATTATCGGATAAGCCAAGTAATACAGACAACAAGAGATCCAGTCGACACAGCTGGAATGCTCACACTACTGGCTGTCTCCTGCTGTATCTTCTGCTTCTCTCTCCTGCTTGTTATATACACAGGTGTATGTCTGTGTGTATACATTTAGAGTTTACTATAATTCCTATTTTATGGACTAAAGTATTCTTGACTGGTGGTGGATAGATGACTTGTAACCTTAATGACCATTGTGTAGTCAATAGGCTTTCAACATCATTAATGTATTTTCATCTGCTTCTGCATCTTCCAAGTTAAAGCTCTTAATTTAAGGCCCTTCAAGGGAGATTCCGTGATATTGGTGAAGGCTCTTGATCCAAGGAATTGGACTTTGGGTTGTACCTGATTGCCTCCCATGCTGTATACCTCTACAGGTTTACCACTTTCCCTTTAATTATTTTGATCCAAGGAATTAAAGCTGCCCTCCTTTTTCTTAAACCCAATTACCTCAATTCCAAGGCACTATAAGATGCTTATGGGTTAGCAATTCCCTTTGAAAATAAACGTGAACCCTGACAATTCGTGCTTCTCATAGTATTTTTTATCCACATCCTCATAATGTGCATGACCACTGTTCCAGATTTTTGTAGGTTATGTTAGGTAAGGTATGTCAGGAAACAGGACAAGTGTTTCCTGATGCAGGTCTTAGTCATATAATGACCCGTAGCTGGAGCTTTTGGTCATCCAACTGTAGCCTTCTGCTGGCTGACCCCTTCACCCCTTTAAAAATATGGTTATGATTATAGCTATTAAGTAATTTTGAATTCCTGTATTTGCATCATTTACTGAAACTTAACCTCAGCAGACCTGTATGGGATTAGCATTAAAATAATTATTAGTAGTACAGCCTCTCCTCACTTAATGATGGAGTTCAGTTCCTAAGACCATGTCATTAAACGAATTCGTCGCTAAATGAGGAGGATATTATAATGGTAGTGGGTTTGTGTTAACCATCTTTGATATTGTTTTAAAGTCACCTCTGCACCATTTATAACATTTCTGGTATATTTTTAAATGTCTATACAGTAGTATACTTTATATTGAAATAAACAGAATAGAGGAAATCAACTCTAATATATATTATTTAGGTATAAATACTGGTCAGAGAGCCGGTCGTAAGTCCAAGGCGTTGGTAAACGAGTATATCGCTAAGTGAGGAGAGGCTGTAGAGGGTTCAACTGTAATGTTATTTGTGCATCAGTTTACTTCTTTTCTTTCAGTGGCTTCTTCCCATTCTCAAAATTTCCCTTCAAAGGTGACGAAGTGTCTAGATGCCAGTGAAGGGGTCTTGATACGAGAAATTAAAGCTGTCATCTCCTTAGAACAAACTTGATTATCTCCCATTCCCCAGGTGCTGTATGACCCATACAGGTTTAATGCTTCCCTCTGAGTGTAAAAATTGGAATACACTAAACTGGTAATTGAAGTGAAAGTTCAGCCATGTATCCTCCCATGATGTTACTGTTTTAGCAAAATTGGCTTGTCAGTCATGACTGTTCATGGATAACTGAAGACTCTTTTGGCAGTACTGTACAGAATGCATTTCATGTGATAACTTCTACTATGAAAATGGAATGTCAGGCACCATTCTTTCTACAGGTGGTGCCCTAATGCTGGTAAAGGGCCCCTGATCAAAAGAACCAGACCTACCCTCCCTTTCCTTGGATTGAATTTGATTGTCTCCCATTCCTGCTACTGTGTAACCATTAGGTTTAGTGCTCTCATGAATGTAAATCTGTAGTGGAGGGAAGGTGGGCAGGGGTCATCCTAGGAAAGGTTGGAGGGAGGGGGTACAGGTGGTTTTCTGTGTGAGGGACTCAGACTTCCAGCAAGTGTGCATGAGCATGTTAGATAGGAATGAGTGGAGGCAAATGGATTTTATTATGATGTATTCTTGGAGTCTGAGCAAAGTAACATTTATGAAGGGATTCGGGTAAACCAGTTAGCTGGACTCGAGTCCTGGAGTTGGGAAGTACAGTGCTTGCACTCTGAAGGAGGGTGTGGAGATATCTTGCTGTTGTTAAACTGTTGTGTATATCTGGAGAGGGTTTTGGGGGTTAATGCCCCCACGACCTGGTCAAAGAAGTGGGGGCATCAGTGCACCTCCCTTAAGGGAGGTGCACTGGTGAATTCAAAAATAATAAGTAAACACTTGCCAATACAAATTTTATTTAGGCATACAAGAGGAATTCCGTGTTAGAATGGTGTACACTGGGTTTCCGACGGTGTGAGAGATTATCTATCGCCTTTTTAATTACATCATCGGTTTTTCATTGCTTTTTTCATTTGTAACTCGATGGCTTTTTTCATGCTTGAAGAGTGACTGTTGGCAATTAGCTGGAGGCTTTCATAATCCTGTATATATTGTCCCATCTTCTTGATCACAAATAAAAGGCACTGACCAAATTTGATAAAAGTCTTATATTTGTCTGCAGTTTTGTTCAAAAATGCAAGGACAGCTGTGTGTGCCGTAGAAGCTTGATGATCAGCATTTTCACACAGCAGCTGAAAGATCTGTACGTCAACATCGCTCACTGATTCACGAGAAGACAAAGCACTGCAAACAAAATAACATGAATAATATTAGTGTTGAGCAGGTATAACACGCATTAAATTATATGACTTAAGTAATTAATTACTCAGAAGAATAATTTAAAAATTAGCATTTCCTATGTTGAATATCGAAGGGTAATGGAAATTCCTGGAGGAAAAAATATCGGTGACATGATATAATAATAATAATATCTTTATTTCTACAAGTACATGTACAAGGTATACAGGCCTAGCTGACATGAATGACATGCTACTATATAGAAAGCTGCTTGTTTTGCAGAGCATTTTGGGCAAATTAGGTCAGTTTTATCCCAAGATGTGACCCACACCAGTCGACTAACACCCAGGTACCCATTTTACTGATGGGGAACATACACAATTGGTGTAAGGAAACACGCTCAATGTTTCTACCCTCACCAAGAATCAAACCCAGACCCTCGCCGTGTGAAGCAAGAGCTTTAGCCACCAGGCCACAGGGCTTTATGTAGGAAACTTCCATATTCACTGCCAGTGATACGTGATACAATTAAGACAGGTTCCTCATTACACTTTGACTCCCATGACAGGCACAGTATGCAAAATAAAGTAAGATACCTGTATATACAAGTGGAGGTATATTCAGCTCTAAAATTTTTTACAAACTGACAACTAACAAAATACTGAATGCACAAGATAATACATACTAGGTAACCAAATAGCTGGCATGCTGTATACTACCATGGCTTGGTGGGGAAAACCTTGGCTGCTTCAACATCACCATTTGCAGCCTTGCTAGTCCTTTGAATTTTACATCTAGCAAACCACCCTCAACCAGTTAGAATATTATTATAATCAAAACAAAGCACTAAAACCACAAAACAATTAGAATAGAACTTGCAAACAGGCTGTATGGAACTCCTTAACCTCTCTTGAATTACCATGTATTCACAGAAGTGTTGCATCATTCTGTAACTCAATCCAAACACTGTTTTTCATATTCTCAATTAAGTTACTATCACTGAATATAATCTAGTGGCAGTTATGTACATTTGTAGCTTAAGCAGCACTGGCCTTAAATTTGGCCTTTTGCCAATGTATACTACGAGTACACACACTAAGAGTGAGACTAAGGGCAATTTGTGATACCATCCATTTTTTGACAAGCTTCAAAATGCTGTACAATAAATTTTGTCTGAAATAATCGATATTCCCTTAGTCTTTGTACCACTGTATTTCTTATCACTTGGTAGCATTTTAGTTGAGGTAAAAATGTAAAAAAACATTTTAAGTTGGGCAGAAATTAGCAAGAATGAGCTGTGAGGCCAGTCTACAACTAATAATGCAGCTTTTACAACAAAGAATCATAGGTTCAGTGTATAACATTTTATTCCAAAAGCATGCAAGTGCAGAGAGTTCATCTTTGCCTCTTAGTGAGATGGCAGACATAATTATAAAATATGGTAAAAATAAAAAATGATCCTACTTTGAACAAACTCTGCCCTAATGTATCACCTATGGTAGGTAGTGCAAATCTACACTAACCAATATTTCAGTGAATGGGAGTTTCCTTTATGTAAACCTAAGCAATATTTCAATGACTTGTTTTAATGTAGTATTGTAATCTATTACTATGAAATCATAAAAACTGTACGAGTTAAGTTATAAATAGGCAACTTAAATTTACAATATATAAGTGATCCGGTACCTTAGCATCTGTGTTATGTGTTGAGTTGAAAATGCAGACACGAGGCGTGCCAGGACATCTCGGTGTTGTTCTTCAGTTTTAGGGCAATGCTGCAGAAGAGGCACCAAAATGTGGGTCACACTCACATCAGTGTGCCATTCTAAAAATTCTAACAAGGCATCAACATTTGGTTTGGAGAGCTTGCTAGATAGGTGGTACAGCTGGAAGTAGATAAAAATATTATTTATGGCCAATTCAAATTTTGTTAATCTTAAAAAAATTGTTAAGATTAAGTAATGTACAGATACTACATACTATGTCTGGACAAAATTGAGTATAGCCGCTAGGATACTGTTATCTGTGTATGTGATAAGATTAGTTGTCTGTTTCTTAAATCTGAATTATTTGTATTTGTGCATTATAATTTTAATTTTTCATGCTACATTTTTATTCCAGTCACAGTCTGGTGATTTTTTTCTTCAGGGAAAGCAAAAATAATGGTGGAGTTGATGTTTATACAAAATACCTTATTCAAAAATACTGTACAGGTTTCCAATTGCTTTAAGTGGGTTTACTATTTGCAAATTTGCTATTATGCAGTGTTTCATTTGTACTGGTAATGTTGTATGTGCAATACATAACTGTCATAGTGATCAGTGCAGCTTGCAAAACATATGGAATATTCTTATTAGGAGAAATTAAATTAGTGGCCTAACTAAAGAGGGCAGTGTGGGGGTATTTTGGTTTAATGAAGGAAAAGAAGGGAAGTTCCAATTTCTCCAATTAAGAGCCCTTCACCACAGCAAGGAGCACCTTTAAGAGATGTTGAAGTGTCAGCATGTACAGATATTTCTCACAAAATGCCACTATAAGTAGGGAAATTGTGTTATTTAGAAAAAAATACTGTATTTAGAATTTTTTTTGACATAAATGATAAAGAGCTACATCAACCATTCAATTTAGTTAAATACAATACACATCTGGATCTAAATGATGTATATATTGCAAACATTGAAGAAAAGACACATGTAGCAGAACAAGTTGACTTGATAAGTCTCTACATGGAACAAAACTGTCTAAACAACTTGTTCAATCTCTTTTCTTCACAGTACAGTAGCCTGGGTAATCAAAGATGAATAAAAAATTTCTTTGACCTTAATTTTATGGGACTATAATTTTTTCTTTGTAAGAAAAACTGTAGAGTACGGTACAGTATCCAGTTCTTATACTGTTTAATTTATTATATAGTAATCAAGTTTTTTAACAGATAGGGCTAAAATTATAATTCTGTGCATTAACATAAATATTAACATAATATATGGTACCTTTGGTAATATAAAAAGTGTTCCAACAATAGCTGCTACTGCATCATCTGAGTTTTCATTCTTCTTACAAACATTAAACAATACTGCATCACTTATTACTGGAGCACTGCTGTTACACACACTGAGAGGTTCTACCGATTTATAGAGCTCGGTATTAACCTTTTCTGAATTATTCAGAGCATTTAAAATACTATTTTGCATTATCTGAACATCAGGTATCATGGATGACTTGAGCTCTTCCACATGTGAAGTTTTCACAGGCATGGTATGGCTAGTATCTAATTTAATCTTCTTAGGAGTCTGGTTTTCATCTATCTGCGCATCTTGCTCTGTATTCATCTCATGGAGTCTCATTTCCGCATGCTTACACTCAAACACACCAGGACTCTGGCGAAATTTTTTGCACAACTCTTCAAAGGTTTTCTTGTTCTTTTCACTTACATTATAATCCTCCCACATGATTATGTCTCATTCATTCCTTAACAAAAGTTAAGTAGCACTGCATGCCACAGAATTGGCAAATGAAAATTTCTTTTCTTTTCCTGAGTAAACAACAGTAATAATTATTTCATAATTTTATTCATCACAAAATATGTAAGTGTTATTTTGAAATAAAAAAAAAACTTACACCTGGGTCAAATTACATATGGTGAATTTATTATTTATACAAGTACTGTACAGGCATCTTGCTTTATGCAGTGGAAGTGTTTGAGGTCCGTGGCAGCTGTACCATAGGTATGCTCACTCAGGACATTAACCCGTAAATGGTCCAAACGTATATATACGTTTTTTCAACATTTGAAAGTATGTAAAAAAAAAGTAGATCTTCTTTTTGTTTTTTTTATATTTGAAAATGTGTAAAAAAACTTTGATCTACTTTTTTTTGTTATATTTGAAAATATGTCCTGTCTAAGGGCAATGTGTGGTGTAAATATTATGCAGAAAATTCGGAGTGTGGAAATTAGGAGAAGGTGTGGAGTTAATAAAAGCATTAGTCAGAGGGCAGAAGAGGGGTTGTTGAGGTGGTTTGGTCATTTAGAGAGAATGGATCAAAGTAGAATGACATGCAAAGCATATAAATCTATAGGGGAAGGAAAGAGGGGTAGGGGTCGTCCTCGAAAGGGTTGGAAAGAGGGGGTAAAGGAGGTTTTGTGGCGAGGGGCTTGGACTTCCAGCAAGCGTGCATGAGCGTGTTAGATAGGAGTGAATGGAGACGAATGATACTTGGGACCTGACGATCTGTTGGAGTGTGAGCAGGGTAATATTTAGTGAAGGGATTCAGGGAAACCGGTTATTTTCATATAGTTGGACTTGAGTCCTGGAAATGGGAAGTACAATGCCTGCACTTTAAAGGAGGGGTTTGGGATATTGGCAGTTTGGAGGGATATGTTGTGTATCTTTATAATATATGCTTCTAGACTGTTGTATTCTGGGCACCTCTGCAAAAACAGTGATAATGTGTGAGTGTGGTGAAAGTGTTGAATGATGATGAAAGTATTTTCTTTTTGGGGATTTTTTTCTTTTTTGGGTCACCCTGCCTCGGTGGGAGACGACCGACTTGTTGAAAAAAAAAAAAATGTAGAAAAAACGTAGATCTACTTTTGTAGCACTACACATGTGAATGTAGATCTGCTTGGACCGTTTAAGGGTTAATATTAAATTTTGCATAATAAAAATCTTTAGCATGTATTATTTACTGTGACAAATGCAAACAATGAATGTATATCACACACGTGTTATTACTGATAGAAACAGGACATTGCAGAAGGCAAAATTTACATATAACAAACGTACATGAAGAAAGGCATTCCTGTACATGGATGATGAGGTACAAAAAAAAGCATTTTTATATTAATTAAAGGGAAGTGCTAAACCCACATGGTTCATATTGTGTCTGGGAAACAGGAGGCCTTGAGGTTTGATCTAAGGGGGGGGGGGAATCCCAGTTCCTTGGATCAAGAGCCCTTCACTGACATCAAGGTGCTTTCCTTGAGTGAAGCACAATTAAAGGTAGTAAGAACTACTAAACAGTTTTATTATTATTATTATTACTGCTATCAAAACTAAGCGCTAAACCCAACGAAATATTCAAGGCTGAAGATAATGCACAGTTGTATTAGCCATGGGAAGCATTAAACCTGTATGGGTCATACACATTCTGGGAAATGAGATGTAGTCAGGTTTGATCCAAGGAAGGGAAGACAAGCCCAGTTCCTTGGAACAAAAGCCCTTCAATAGCATCGAGAGACCGTCCTGGAGGGTTCATGATCATGCAGCACTTCAGGACTGGGAGGCAGCAATCAGGTTTGATCCGAGGAAGAGGAGAGTGGTTCTAATTCTTTGGATCAAGGGCCCTTCACTAGCATCAAGGTGAAGAGGAGAAAATTCGCTTCAAAAAATTCTGGGGAAATGTCTCACTTATACTGGCTCGTTAAACCTTTAAAAACTGTTTATAATATATATATTAATACGGCTTAATATTCTTAAAATCTAAATAAAAAAAGGATGCCCTTCAATACGTCTTATAAAAGGTATTATTCTTATACTATTATATAATTTATACCTTTGGATTTACTCAATATTTAAATAAATTTTCATCATTATTTGAGTTGGATTTAAGTGAACAAAACAAAAACAAATTAACTATTTACGTTCTTGACTTCTATTCATTCTTTTATATATATAATATTTACATATTCATTAAAATATTATCGTAAATTACTTCACTACTAATACGCACATTTTAAAAATACTCTTTACTTTATATAATTACTTATTTAATGTGGCAATAATAATAATAAAAAATTATTTTTAGAATAATTTTTAAACTAAAAGTCTCAATATTTACACTTGTGCTGTCAGTTTCAGACGTTTTCATATATAGTGTAAATTACCTACCAAATTTGTTAAGGTACAGCTACACATAAATACACATGCATAATTATCATACACAGCAACATGTATGTAGATTACCTGGGATAACCCAATAAAGTCAGAGTGACTTACTTCCATTGGGGTCTTTTTAATACCTTTATTAACCTAAAGTGATACTATAGGATTTTCCTTAAACATGCCTCTGCTAGGATGAACCCGTTGGATGAATCCAGTTGTTGTACTTTGTACAACTGTATGCAATGAAAGTATTTTGAAACTATTATTGATGGTTGTTAATTATACTGGTCGTATGGCGACTGCCCAAGGATGGTTTACCGATTTCTGAGTGAAGGTTCTTAAGTTTCCTGAATTGGTCTGTGATTACAGTAGCTATTGGCTAATGCCTCCCAATTCCTAATGCTCTTGAATCCATGTTTAGCGCTCCAACATGATTATTAATTGATAATGTCTGGCCCATTATATATAGTTTTGCTAGGCTTAAGAGCCTGGTGTTCCTTGATCTTGAGGGGCCTCTATTAGGGTTTGGCTCTGTGGTTGTTTGAAAGTTCAGCACTAATTGGCATAACCCCCACATTAGTCTGGATATTTATTTATCTTTCCCATCTGTTAATAAAAGAAGATATTTTGTTCTGCCCCATACATGATCTTTAACGATAGGCTTAAAACGCCTGTTGATGTTGACTAAATGGAGGCCTTGTGTTGTTTTGTCTTAGTGTTGAAAGGAAGTTCACCTCACCTAATTGGATAATTATTATTATTATTGGATAATTATTATTATTTTCTTCATAATTCCTGTTTCACATAAAAGAAGGATATTTTTTTTCTCCTGAGCATTAATGATCCTTAACAACCACAACATCAACTCTGCCTCAGTATATCAAAATTTTGACTTTTTTTTTTTATCATATATTACGTTAAGGAAGCTGTAAGTCAGCCACAAGTAACCAGAAGACATGTTTGCTGTCATCTATATCTAAAACTCTTCATCATGGCGCATAAATTTCGGTCATTGATATCAAATAAGGTAAAGAGTTCGCTGCTGAAACTGATTTTTGTCTCTAGAAACTACAGGGCTCTTGTTCCAGGGAACTGGATCTGTGCTCTAGTTCCCTGAATTGAGACTGAATGTCTTCCGTCCCCCCACCACAGGTACTGTGTAACCCCCTACGGGTTTAGCGCTCCCTCATAATCCAGAAAGTACAGTCTTGAGTCTGTCAATATAATAACCTTCAAGGAAGGCTCTCGATCCGGGGAATTGGAGCTACCAGCCACTTTGTCCCCTCGAGGGAGACTTCTTAATGCTGATGAGGGGCTCTTGATCCAAGGAGCAGCGCTGTGTGACCCTTACAGGTTTAATGCCTGGTTATGATTATAATAATAATAATAATAATAATAGAACCAAGGAACTGGACTCCTATGGGTTTAGTGCTTTCCCCTTGATTAAAATAAATATGCATAAAGAAAGCAAGTTTTTTAATCTGTTCTATATAGCTGTAAACCGCGCTGTATGACCTTTATGGGTTTAGCGCATACTTATTTATTATATTGCTGTAACGTATATAAAAAATAAATTGTGGTAGATGGGAGAGACTAAACGATCTTCATTGCATATTTATTGTACAGTAAATCAACATTTTGGTGATAAATCTGTCACCATCATCAGCAAATTGTATTCTGCAATATAATATAATGTAAAGGAAATCAAGGACCCCAATGGAAATACATAAGTCACTTTGTCTGGCTTATTTTTGGTGTTATCCTGGGTAATCTACACATATGTTACTATGTATGATAATATGTAACTGTATTTATGTGTACCTGTACTTAAATAAACGTACTTAGGATATAGTAGAAAATACAATGATACATTAGTATAAGAAAAAATAAAGCATAAACAAGCCAGTAATAATGTAGAATTACCGATAAAATGGTAGGGTAAAGTACACAGAGGCAACTAATGTGACATTTTATTGTGGCAATATTTCGCTCTCCTGGAACTTTGACAAAGCTCATAATGTAATGTGATTACAGGTCGAGCATCACTATTCCGGTATCGCTGAGACATCATTTACCTGTACCATTTTCATGGTAAGTCACAGGAAACTGTGCCATACCTTTGAAAGCCCTCGGATGTAAACCTTTACCGATGATGCTAGCCGAAATTAGTGCCGGATTTGTGATTGTCAGCTCAGTGATGGCTGACCTATTTAAAATAAGTGTAGTCAAATTGCTTAAAATTTTGTTAATATGACTGCTTTCTTTAATTAAATTATGAATATAACTTTACTTGACAGATTATACAGGCCTTGAGTGGTTTTCCGATTGGAGGTAGAGGTCTGAAACCAGCGTTGCTTATTCCTTGTGTTCAGGTTTGTCGTTAATGTTCAGTTAAGCATCTTCTCTATAGTCATTCAACATTCGTCCTCATTTCAGTGAATAAATCTATTATCTATTGACTAAAATGTATACAAGTTTTTTACTTGCTAAAATATTTATTTTAGGATTAGATAAATGTATTTTAAATATTTTTACTCTTTCAAGTTTGATCCGAAGACTGGTCCAGAGCCTGAGTTTCAAGTATCCTTAAGGGCTCTTCAGAGACAAGGCCTTATAAGCACAAGTGGTTTAAGTGATCAGTGAGTATTGTAGGTGTTTTCTACATTAAATGTAATATAAACTAAGGAACACTCAAAATTTTGAAAAATTTGTAGATCATTTAGGGCTTGGATCATATGCTAAGAGTCTTGCATACTTCCACAGAATTTCATTTTTCCACTTATTCTTATTCTATCCAAATGATGGATCCTTAGCAGTTCTGAAAAGTTTTGCCAACCATCTAATTTCTAGAGGATGTTTTGACATTTAATTTCATATGACTGGTGAAGTTTTGTCAACGTATATTATACATACATAGGTTTAAATACTGTGTATAACTCATGGAAGAGATGAGATTTGAACCCACATGGCTTGCAGTTAGCACACTTCTCTGTTAGTTTTATTACTGGGTTGTCATGGGATTGAATCCCACCCATTCTGTTAATTATTTACATGTTATTACAATTTTGTGAGTTATATATTGTACGTGTTCTATATACAGTACTATACACTTCTTATTTTTAGTGATGAAAGTGTTACTTCGTTTTTGGGTCACCCTGCCTCGGTGGGAAACTGTTGATGTGTTAAAAAACATATGTACTACAGTATTTTACCATTTTTTTTTTTTTTGGCAGGAAGGACTTGATCCACTATGGGTCAGCATTAGTACAGAAATTTGACACAGATCCCACAATCCCAGGTGTCCACCTTGTTCAAGACAATAAAGATGTGAGATTAAACTTCAAAGGTAAACAGAAGTGTTACTCACTTGTACTTTACAAAGCTTTTGGATTTCACTACAGACTTGACACAGGAAGCAAGTGATTAGCTGCCTTCCTGTTGCTGTGAAGTAATCATTACTGTTGAGGCTATATTTTGAAGCTTTAAAATGTACTCACGAAATCGTGATATCAAACAAACCATACCATGGGCTTATGCGCTGGCCTGGAGTTTAAAGACTCACTCGCCACAAGTTCAGTCTCCTCCCGTGGTATAGTTTCTTGAAAATGTAGTTTTGTTTCCCATTTTATTTTTAACGATATTTTAAGGAACGTCTGATTCATGTCCTCTTTGATTAAGTAAGTTTCTCTTACCCTACTGATGTCCTTCCCTAACCACTGCCCTACCATGTACTACTGAATGCTTCTTATGGGTTTAGTTCTTTTTGTGAACATAATGACAATTTCTCCCTATCTTGCCCTTCAAGGAAGAGAGAGAGAGAGGGGGGGGGAAGTGCCTTGATGGTGAAGGGCTCTTGATTCAAGGAACTGGAGATACTCTTCCCCTCCTTGAATCAAACCTGATTGCTTTTCATCCCCCAGGTGCTGTAATATGACCCCTATAGATTTAGTGCTTTCCCCATGAATATAGTACTGAACCTATAGTAATAATAGTAGTACAGTTCTAGTAGTAAATACTAATAATAATCCTGTCTTGTTGCTATTTTCACTACCAGTTTGTCTAGTTCATGGCCGTCTCCTTAGTCCTCACATCATAGGATGTGAGGACTAAGGAGACGGAAAATACAGTACTGTGCTATAAAACAGAGTAAAATAATTGACTGAGGAAGCATGTAAGGTCAGCTGTTTGCATACACACCGATTATTAATGTTTATAATTTTTTTGTTTGCATCCACTATTAACTTCTTTCATGATGACATGTCTTCATGAGTGAGGAATTAGTGTCTACAGGATCATTATGATGCATGGATGCCACCAAGTTGTCATTATTCATTATTATTGTCAACAGAAAAGGGGGAAACGAGTGAGATATGAGTTATTCTTCTCTCTATAAAAATGCTAAAACCATCTTGTATATACTGTACTCCAAATTACCAGCTGCCACACTATGCTATACAATCTCTCCTCACTTAATGACAGAGTTCCATTCCTAAGACCACATCATTAAACGAATTCGCCGCTAAGTGAGGAGCATACAGTGGACCCCCGGTTAACGAACTTTTTTCATTCCAGTAGTATGTTCAGGTGCCAGTACTGACCGAATTTTTTCCCATAAGGAATATTGTGAAGTAGATTAGTCCATTTCAGACCCCCAAACATACACGTACAAACGCACTTACATAAATACACTTACATAATTGGTCGCATTTGGAGGTGATCGTTAAGCGGGGGTCCACTGTACTATAATAGTAGTGAGTTTGTGTCAGCCATCTTTGGTATTGTTTTAATGTCACTTTTGCACCATTAATAACATTTCTGGTATATTTTTCAATGTTTCTGCAGTATTGTAATGTATATTAAAATAAACAGAATAGAGGAAATCAGCTCTAATATGCATTATTTAGGTACAAATACTGGTCAGAGAGCCCGTCGTAAGTCCCAAGGCATCAGTAAATGAGTATGTTGCTAAATGAGGAGAGGCTGTATTACAAAAAACTCTGTAAAAGAATGGTAGCATTCTCAGTACAGCATTCATGCTGTAGTCTTGAAAAATTCGCAAATATAGTATGTCAGCTTCTTGAGAAAATAGCAAAGACTCCTTGAAAAGATATCAAATAGCGTATGCAGCTTTCTCCATTAGATAATTTACATGGTTTGCAGAAACTTTGAGAATTGGTCAGCTGGTGTGGGTTGTATCCTGGGGGACAGGACTAAAGAAACTCAATGGGAATAAGACAGACAGTAACACTGACTTTCTTGGGTTAGCCTAGGTGACTAACCCTCTTGGTTAAAAGTCCAAACAAATTTTAACCTTAAGGTTAAAATTGGTTTATGTGCTGGATTCTATAAAAATGAACCATTATAGTGATCCTTTAATGTTCAGGTTACTCAGGTCATATTTTTCTACATGTATTAAGTTTTCTATTTCTTATTCTCAGTAAACTACAGCCAGCTAGCATCAGAAGTGGTGAGGATAACCACACACAAACCTGCCTCCTTTTGGCAATGCAGTGCATTAGTGACACTCTTGCCACATCAAAATGTGGTTGTAGAGTACAGGTTAGTTTAGCTTTTTATATAATGACATTGAATAAAAACAACAAAAAGAAAAAAAGATATATTGGGTTACATGGCTGATGAATGTCACAAATAAATTACAGTAGAGACTAACAAATAATTTAATTCAAATGAGTTCTGGAGATTTGTCCTGGTTGAGTTAAAAAGCACAGTTTGTTATGAAAATTATGAAAAAATATCTTTACGACTTTACAACCTTATCATTCTAGTTATATTAGGAGAATATACAATTTGCATCTTGATTATGGCTTATTTTTCCTGTCTTAAAATCTGTTTTATGGCTATAAAGCTGATTTTCTTTGGCTCTCGTGTATAAACTCATTATGACGTAGCATTAATATTTCCTGTAATAAAAGTCCGCTCAGATTCAGATGCATCTTCTTGTTTCAGCTCACCCAATATTGCCAAGCCGTTTCATGTTGGCCACCTTCGATCTACCATTATTGGAAACTTCATTGCTAACCTTCACGTCGCTCTTGGCCACAATGTCACTCGCATCAACTACCTGGGTGACTGGGGTACGCAGTTTGGGATCCTGAAATATGGGTAAGGTTGATGGAATTTTGATTTACAGTACATAGTATTGGCACACCTCTGGCAAGGCAGTGATGGAGCAAGTAATTATGAAAGTGTTTTTTCTTTTTCAGGTCATCCTGCCTTGGAGGGAAATGGCTGATATGTTAAAAGCATATAACATACATACTGTTATTTCTTCCTTTGTTTTAGTGTACAGTAATATATAAGAATGCTTTACCAAAGGAATCCATGTTTCATTCACAATTATTATTATAATCATAACTAAATGGCTGTTTGGAGTGACATCTAAACTATCATATCTGGGTGCCTCTGCAAAGAAAGTGTGAATGATGGTGAAAGTGTTGAATAAGGGTGAAAGTGTTTATTTCTCTTTTGGGTCACCCTGCCTTGGTGGGAGATGGCCTAAGTGCTAAACCCATAATGGTCAAACAGTGCTGCACCATTCACAGTTAACCCACAATTTGGAAAAAGAACCTTAGATACAAATACAAATAATTTATTTCTTTTCTACAGTATACAGGTAATGTAGTTTACCTGTAATACAGTATTGTTAGGCACTAAAAAAAGCCACTAACATGTGGAAACTTTTCAATTTGTCTGGTTATTATAAAGTCAAAAGTTGATAATGGTTTAGGCTGGACTGAAATGTCATCTAAAGTAAGATATTTGTGAATTATTCCATACCATTTATTTGAGAATGGAGTAATGCTGGTGGAGAGGTAGAGAGATGATCATTTTCTATGTGCAGTTGTGTTTTCAGTACTCATAAACTGATTTGTACAGTATATCACTTTTTTTTTTTGTTCCCTAATTTAAATTTTGTTAATTTATTGTATGATAAGCATACTGTTATTAGGAGGGGAGGGTTGCTATTTATCGTATTTAACTGTCTTAACTAGTGAATTAAGCGCTGGACAGTTATTCTTTGCTTTACATGAATACATTTTATGTGATGCTCTATGTTTACCTGGAGTTTACCTGGAGAGAGTTCCGGGGGTCAATGCCCCTGCGGCCCGATCTGTGCAGTTTACAAAGTACAGTGGACCCCCGCTTAACGATCACCTCCCAATGCGACCAATTATGTAAGTGTATTTATGTAAGTGCGTTTGTACATGTATGTTTGGGGGTCTGAAATGGACTAATCTACTTCGCAATTTTCCTTATGGGAACAAATTCGGTCAGTACTGGCACCTGAACATACTTCTGGAATGAAAAAATATTGTTAACCAGGGGTCCACTGTAGTATAATGAAAATTAATTTTTAACATTTCAGTCATCTCCCACCCAGGGAGAGTGACCCAAAAAATGAAACACATTCCCCTCTCATTAGTCAGTAGCAGTTGTGCCAGAAGTGTGGGGATATCACAGATTAAATGACTCCAAACTGCAACTTTCATACCCCTCCTTTAGGGACTGTATTGACCACCTCCAGGACTCAAGTCCTACTAACCAGTTTTCTTGAATCCCTTGCTTACTTTTTCCCATAACCTTGGGAACCTAACACTCAAAACCTCCTTTGTTTGATAGGTATGATGCAAGGAACATGACTGAGAAGGATTTAGAAGATGATGCTATCAAAAAACTCTATGAAGTGTACGTCTGGGCAAACCAGAAAGCAGAATTGGATCCCAGTGTAAGCAGTAAAGCTCGGGAAATATTTAACGAGATGGAACAGGGAAACATCAGTGAACTAAAAGCTTGGGAGGTATTTAGAAATGTGTCCATTAAGGATCTGAAAAGAATGTATGCTCGTCTGAATGTAAACTTTGATGAATTTCATGGAGAAAGTATGTATAATGCTCAGAAATGTCAAGAGGTGTTAAATTTAATGGAAGAGAAAGGTCTGTTAGAAGCATTAGATGATGGAAGGAAAGTGTATGAAGTAAATCCAAAACGAAGAGTGACTGTAGTTAAAAGTGATGGATCAAGTATATACCTCTCCAGAGACATTGCTGGTGCCATAGACAGGCAAGAAAAATATAAGTTTACAAAAATGTATTATGTAGTTGATAATTCACAAACAGATCATTTTGTTGCCTTATTCAGTATTTTGAGAAAGTTAGGCTTTGAATGGGCTGACAGCATGATGCATGTCAAATTTGGACGGATTCAAGGAATGAGTACACGCAAAGGCACGGCTATCTTCCTGCAGGACATCCTTGATGAAGCACAAGAAATCATGCTGCAGAAGCAACAGGAGACACATAGTAAGTAGTGTTGACACAAATAAGTATTTAATTATTGATCAGACAAGATTAATTTGAGATCACTTGATGTAAGCACAAGTATGGTTCAGGTTATGTAAGGTGAGACATTTGATATATTTTAATTTTAACTGATATCGTTGAGCCTTTAGAAAGATAGCTAGCAAATGATTTATGCTGTATGTGTTAACATGTTATCTTATTTAGGTCACCCTGCCTTGGTAGAGTATAATTTTAAAGTTCTAATCTTTACACGTTGTTTATGTGAATTCTTTTTAAGACCTTTGTAGAGTGACTCAAACAAGAACTCACAGGTACAGGTTTCTTAGCTGTCTCTTAAATAAATAAATTTCTTTTTCAAGACAAATGTATGTATCTATCTTTAAGAAGGTTCTTAATGAATATGAATTTACACAAATATTATTTAAGGTTAGGCTCAACTCTGCATATTTTGCTATCAGTAATTAAAATTGCACTTTAAATATTGTTTATAAAGTCTACATCCCATGTATTGTACTTTATAAATTAAATAATATACTTACAGTATAATGGTTATATAGGATGAAAGATGCACATAACATCATAAACATTTATTATGATAAATTAGACACATGTGCAACTCTTGGGTATCTTTATTGAGGAAACGTTTCGCCACACAGTGGCTTCATCAGTCCATACAAAGGAGAATCTTGAAGAACAGGAGGAGAATTCTTCGCTTGCCTAATTCTTGGGCACGACCTACTTCCGCATTGAACAAATGTGACACCACCTATGACTGCTGCACCTCTCCTACAAACGGTTTATAAGCTCCTTCTCTGCACGTATGCCGTATTCTATTCAAGATTGATGGACTGACCACATCGACTCAAGGTTGAGGGACTGATTACCTCATTCTCCTCCCATTCTTCAAGATTCTCCTTTGTATGGACTGATGAAGCCACTGTGTGGCGAAACGTTTCCTCAATAAAGATACCCAAGAGTTGCACATGTGTCTAATTTATCAACATGTCGGTTCTCTGAACCATTCATCTACAAACATTTATTATAACAATGTTTTGCTTGATAAAGTTCCCTTCAAGTGAAACTTTATTAAAATAAAGGCTTATGCTGTTGTGTATATCTTTTTCATTTATTGTCTGCTAACATCCTCTTCTATCTACCAGTGGTTAAGTAAGTTTATTTAGGCACAGGTACACATGAGTACAGTTATCATATAGTGTAAATTACCTTAGAGAGCCCCAAAAATGTCAGAGTGACTTATTTCCATTAGAAGTCCTTGGTTATAAACAGTACTTCAATTTTTAGCTACGAGAGATGATGTGAGACTCAGTGGAGCAGAAACAGCAGACAGAGTAGCAACATCGTGTATATTAATTGCGGATTTGAAGCAGCGGCGCCAGAGAGATTATGTGTTCTCTTGGGACAAAGCACTGCAGGTAAGATTGGCCTTTTTTGTTATTAACAAACCTGAAGATGGTAGCTCCTGTCTCAGTCCTGATAGAGAGTCTATTCTAGTTTACCCTGTCTAGTATTTGAAATGTCTTGATCATATTCCTTCTTCTTTCCTTCCTCCTGTGACAGTGTCTTGCTCTCTTTGTCTTCATAGGTTATTTCTTTAACTCTGGGATCAGTACCTATGTACTCCTTTGTGCTTTTGCAAGTACACAGGGCTCAGTATTAGTGCTGTGTAGTAGAATGTTTTGAACATGTGTCTATAATTCTCAATGCCACTCAAATGCTTGCCAGTATAGCCTGTGTCGCTTAAGTTATGCTGCTTATTGTTTTATGCACTCTAGGAAACAGTTATGAAGTACAGTAATGAATATACTGACCCTTTTTTTGGACTGTTTCTGAGAGTTCTTTCATTCCCAGATAGTACTCTGTTGATCCTTTCTTGAATGAATTTTTTCTGACTTGTTTCCTGGTGACAGCAGTGTATTTTGCCCTTTCATTATCTTTGTATTATTTATTTACATTTCCTTAAATTTAGGTGTCTGGTTTCTTTTTATTATTTGTGTCAATATGGACTGTGTTTTTGTATTCTACATAGAAACAGTTAATTTACTACCATGGAATATTTTCAGTAAAGTTGTATCCCATCTGTACTGTTTTATTTTTTGTGAAAAATCATGTGTTGATTGCCTTTCCTAAATTTTTATTTATTATCACACTGGCCGATTCCCACCAAGGCAGGGTGGCCCGAAAAAGAAAAACTTTCACCATCATTCACTCCATCACTGTCTTGCCAGAAGGGTGCTTTACACTACAGTTTTTAAACTGCAACATTAACACTCCTCCTTCAGAGTGCAGGCACTGTACTTCCCATCTCCAGGACTCAAGTCCGGCCTGCCGGTTTCCCTGAACCCCTTCATAAATGTTACTTTGCTCACACTCCAACAGCACGTCAAGTATTAAAAACCATTTGTCTCCATTCACTCCTATCAAACACGCTCACGCATGCCTGCTGGAAGTCCAAGCCCCTCGCACACAAAACCTCCTTTACCCCCTCCCTCCAACCTTTCCTAGGCCGACCCCTACCCCGCCTTCCTTCCACTACAGACTGATACACTCTTGAAGTTATTCTGTTTCGCTCCATTCTCTCCACATGTCCGAACCACCTCAACAACCCTTCCTCAGCCCTCTGGACAACAGTTTTGGTAATCTCGCACCTCCTCCTAACTTCCAAACTACGAATTCTCTGCATTATATTCACACCACACATTGCTCTCAGACATGACATCTCCACTGCCTCCAGCCTTCTCCTCGCTGCAACATTCATCACCCATGCTTCACACCCATATAAGAGCGTTGGTAAAACTATACTCTCATACATTCCCCTCTTTGCCTCCAAGGACAAAGTTCTTTGTCTCCACAGACTCCTAAGTGCACCACTCACCCTTTTCCCCTCATCAATTCTATGATTCACCTCATCTTTCATAGACCCATCCGCTGACACGTCCACTCCCAAATATCTGAATACATTCACCTCCTCCATACTCTTTCCCTCCAATCTGATATCCAATCTTTCATCACCTAATCTTTTTGTTATTCTCATAACCTTACTCTTTCCTGTATTCACTTTCAATTTTCTTCTTTTGCACACCCTACCAAATTCATCCACCAATCTCTGCAACTTCTCTTCAGAATCTCCCAAGAGCACAGTGTCATCAGCAAAGAGCAACTGTGACAACTCCCACTTTATGTGTGATTCTTTATCTTTTAACTCCACACCTCTTGCCAAGACCCTCGCATTTACTTCTCTTACAACCCCATCTATAAATATATTAAACAACCACGGTGACATCACACATCCTTGTCTAAGGCCTACTTTTACTGGGAAATAATTTCCCTCTTTCCTACATACTCTAACTTGAGCCTCACTATCCTCGTAAAAACTCTTCACTGCTTTCAGTAACCTACCTCCTACACCATACACCTACAACATCTGCCACATTGCCCCCCTATCCACCCTGTCATACGCCTTTTCCAAATTCATAAATGCCACAAAGACCTCTTTAGCCTTATCTAAATACTGTTCACTTATATGTTTCACTGTAAACACCTGGTCCACACACCCCCTACCTTTCCTAAAGCCTCCTTGTTCATCTGCTATCCTATTCTCCGTCTTACTCTTAATTCTTTCAATAATAACTCTACCATACACTTTGCCAGGTATACTCAACAGACTTATCCCCCTATAATTTTTGCACTCTCTTTTATCCCCTTTGCCTTTATACAAAGGAACTATGCATGCTCTCTGCCAATCCCTAGGTACCTTACCCTCTTCCATACATTTATTAAATAATTGCACCAACCACTCCAAAACTATATCCCCACCTGCTTTTAACATTTCTATCTTTATCCCATCAATCCCGGCTGCCTTACCCCCTTTCATTTTACCTACTGCCTCACGAACTTCCCCCACACTCACAACTGGCTCTTCCTCACTCCTACAAGATGTTGTTCCTCCTTGCCCTATACACGAAATCACAGCTTCCCTATCTTCATCAACATTTAACAATTCCTCAAAATATTCCCTCCATCTTTCCAATACCTCTAACTCTCCATTTAATAACTCTCCTCTCCTATTTTTAACTGACAAATCCATTTGTTTTCTAGGCTTTCTTAACTTGTTAATCTCACTCCAAAACTTTTTCTTATTTTCAACAAAATTTGTTGATAACATCTCACCCACTCTCTCATTTGCTCTCTTTTTACATTGCTTCACCACTCTCTTAACCTCTCTCTTTTTCTCCATATACTCTTCCCTCCTTGCATCACTTCTACTTTGTAAAAACTTCTCATATGCTAACTTTTTCTCCCTTACTACTCTCTTCACATCATCATTCCACCAATCGCTCCTCTTCCCTCCCGCACCCACTTTCCTGTAACCACAAACTTCTGCTGAACACTCTAACATTACATTTTTAAACCTACCCCATACCTCTTCGACCCCATTGCATATGCTCTCATTAGCCCATCTATCCTCCAATAGCTGTTTATATCTTACCCTAACTGCCTCCTCTTTTAGTTTATAAACCTTCACCTCTCTCTTCCCTGATGCTTCTATTCTCCTTGTATCCCATCTACCTTTTACTCTCAGTGTAGCTACAACTAGAAAGTGATCTGATATATCTGTGGCCCCTCTATAAACATGTACATCCTGAAGTCTACTCAACAGTCTTTTATCTACCAATACATAATCCAACAAACTACTGTCATTTCGCCCTACATCATATCTTGTATACATTTATCTTCTTTTTCTTAAAATATGTATTACCTATAACTAAACCCCTTTCTATACAAAGTTCAATCAAAGGGCTCCCATTATCATTTACACCTGGCACCCCAAACTTACCTACCACACCCTCTCTTAAAAGTTTCTCCTACTTTAGCATTCAGGTCCCTACCACAATTACTCTCTCACTTGGTTCAAAGGCTCCTATACATTCACTTAACATCTCCCAAAATCTCTCTCTCTCCTCTGCATTCCTCTCTTCTCCAGGTGCATACACGCTTATTATGACCCACTTCTCGCATCCAACCTTTACTTTAATCCACATAATTCTTGAATTTACACATTCATATTCTCTTTCTCCTTCCATAACTGATCATTCAACATTACTGCTACCCCTTCCTTTGCTCTAACTCTCAGATACTCCAGATTTAATCCCATTTATTTCCCCCCACCGAAACTCCCCTACCCCCTTCAGCTTTGTTTCGCTTAGGGCCAGGACATCCAACTTCTTTTCATTCATAACATCAGCAATCATCTGTTTTTTGTCATCCGCACTACATCCACGCACATTTAAGCATCCCAGTTTTATAAAGTTTTTCTTCTTCTCTTTTTTAGTAAATGTCTACAGGAGAAGGGGTTACTAGCCCATTGCTCCCGGCATTTTAGTCGCCTCATACGACACACATGGCTTACGGAGGAAAGATTTTTTTCCACTTCCCCATGGACAATAGAAGAAATAAAGAGGAACAAGAGCTATTTAGAAAAAGGAGAAAAACCTAGATGTATGTATATATATATATATGCATGTGCATGTCTGTGAAGTGTGACCAAAGTGTAAGTAGGAGTAGCAAGATATCCCTGTTATCTAGCGTGTTTATGAGACAGAAAAAGAAACCAGCAATCCTACCATCATGCAAAACAGTTACAGGTTTCTGTTTCACAGTCATCTGGCAGGACGGTAGGACTTCCCTGGGTGGTTGCTGTCTACCAACCTACTACCTAAATCTGTTGTTCAAAATAACTACAGCATGTGCCACTTACCTCATTCTTCATACTTTGAATGTTATATCTTCTCAGTTTGAATTGCTAGTTCACTATTTGTCCAATTAGAGATAATTTATGATAATATTTTAAATAATTAACAAGGTCTCAGTGGAACACAGTTGTTATCCCTTCTTAATTCATGAAGGATACTTTTGAATACATGTTGTGTAAGAAATTGTAGACAATTATATGTGAAATGTTTGTACCTCAGTTGCTAGCTTTCTGATTATGTCTTCCTTTTAATTCCACAATCTTGTTTCAGCAAGTATGTCTTGATTGCAGAGCCGAGGGGATACAGGGGTTAAACTGCAGTATGTTCACTGTCGTCTTGCAAGTCTGGAAAAAAACTGTGGCATAGAGTTCAACTCTCAGGCAAACACTAGTTTTCTTCGAGAAGAATCTGCACTTTCTCTCATACAGGATATTGCAAGGTCAGTGCAACATGCAGTCTTTTTTTATAGGATATTGCAAGGTTTTTACAGCTGCCATCTCACTCTTATACACAACATTGCAAGGTCAGTACAACCTGTAATCTAACTCATAGCTACAGAAAGTAGTGAATAATAGTTGTTAGAGAAATTAAGAGTAAATACTGTCTTGTGAGGTTCAAGAGTAGAGTGCTGGAGTGATGTTAAGGAAATTTCAATACAGGTTAACTGCAAGGTTTAGTCCCCATTACTCTTTACATAATTTGATCATCACTTTGCAAACATGGAATGATGATGGGAGAAATAAGGTATATTAGCAGAGGGAAGAAAGGGCAAGGAATTGGTACTCTCATAAGACTTAGAAAAGGTAGAGATGTAACCAGTGAAGAATAACTTAAAATAATATGGCTGAAACACTTCACAATCCACAATGATAGTTCACTATGTACTGAGAGACTGTAGTTTCCTCTCTAAATTATGGACTAAATGGGACATGCATTTTTTTTGACATGTTGGCATCTCTCACCGAGGCAGGGTGACCTCCCCAAAAAAGAAGCACTTTATAAATAATAGACTGCTTGAAAATGCATCTCCCTTTTAGTCTTGATGCATTTGTCAATTGTCAACATGGAATGATAGAATTCATCAGTGTATGTTGTTGAAATGATTTAAGATGTATGGGTAAATTGGTAATGATGTAATGCTTTGTAAATTCATTGTATGTTGCCTTCCTGTATTTATAATCAAAATTGTCTCAGATTTTTTCTTTTACTTCAGGTTCGATGAAATTTTGGTTAACAGCTACCAGGAACTGGAGCCATGCATACTTGTCAACTATTTGTTTAAGCTTTGGTAAGATGATAGTTACTCAGACATTAGATGTAGTATTGATACATATGACATTTTTGTCATATCTACTAACACATCTCTGAACTTCTCAAGCTTTCTTATATAGTGTGTGTATTCCATACTCATACTTTATTTTTTTTAACATGCTGGCCATCTCCCATTGAGGCAGGGTGACCCATAAAAGAAAGAAACACTTTCACCATCATTCACATATAATCACCGTCTTTGCCAAGGCATGCATATACGACAGTTCAAGTGTCACTCCAAACAGCAAATATCCAAATTCCCCTTTAAAGTGCAGCCTTTATATGGTCTTGCACATATGGTTTATATTAATCTACAACACTTACTGAATTACTAAATTTAAAAAGAAAAACTTTCCTTTTTTTCTTTATAAATCGCCCTGCCTCGGTGGGATATGGCCTGTTTGTTGGGGAAAAAAATTGCAACACTGAGCAAATCAAAGGAAGGAGTTCACATAAATCAGATAGGGGGACATCGAGATTACTACTGCCTTTTTGTTCCCATCAGGGAATGTTGAAACAATCCATACAGGCTTAGCACTTTTTTTTTTTTTTTTTGTGAATACAACAATAATAATAATATTACTATTTTACAAGAAGATATATGTGGAAGTGGAGCAGAATTTTTCCTCTGTGAGCCTATGCATGTCATAAGAGGCTACTAAAATGCCGGGAGCAAGGGGCTAGTAACCCCTTCTCCTGTATACATTACTAAATTTAAAAAAAGAAATTTTCATTTTTCTTTTTGGGCCACCCTTCTTCGGTGGGATATGGCCGGTTTGTTGAAGGAAGATATGTATTAATGTTATAAAGCTATCTTTTTTTTCACATGAAAAATCCTATGATCATTTCCAGCATTTCATGCAGTACCATTTGAGGAAGGTGCCTTGATGACAGTGAGAGGCCTCTTGATCCAAGGAATTGGACTTGTACTCCCCTTCTTGGATTGAAACTGAATGCATCCCACTCCCCAGGCAGTATATGACCCCTTCAGAATTAGAGCTCCCACCCCCAATTAAGATCAAATTAAAATTTGGCTCAGTATGACACCAATAAACTGCCAGTTGACTAATTTAACATACTAGTGGTGAATAAAATAGTGAGCACACAGTTTCTGCTCACAAATAACTCTAAAACTGGGAATTAATAGTATTGTTAAATTAAGCTTTTCAGTGCAGGGTAACTAGACATTTGGGATCTGTATTATTATTATCATTACCATCAAATCTAAGTTCTAAACCACAAGGGTCATACAGACTGTTTGGGATCTGTATTTCTTATGACTATTAACTATATGTAATGACTGACCTTATTTAAACATATCATGAATTCTTAATTCTTTTTTTACAGTGGGAACATCAACATGTCCTTGAAACACATGCAAGTTAAAGGAGCTCCACTTGAAGTTGCTGAAGCCAGACTCTCACTGTTCATGGCAGCACGATATACACTCGCTGCTGGTATGAATATTCTGGGTGTCAAACCTCTTGACCAGATGTGAAGTTATTTCCTCATAATTAATATTTCCATTATATTTTACAGCTTTAATGATTGTACGATCTCCTACCTAAGTGTTTTCACGCTTCATATGGGTTAGAGGTAGGAGACCCAATACATGAAGTCTCACATTTGCAAACCCTTCCAGTTGACAAATCTGTGCTTACACTTGAGGCAATTTACTGCCAAGTCGCAGTATGAACATATGCAACTTAACCATCCTTTTTACTATACAGGTGCTTCTCAACTTATGATAGTTCGACTTGCGATATTTCAACTGTATGATGGTGCAAAAGCAATTACTAAGGAGATGAAACTTAAGATAATCATCCCGCATGAAGGCGGCAAGTCCGTAACTTGTTTACTTATTCAGTGACAGTTCATCAGAACAAAACCCCATCGTAAGTTAAGGAGCACCTGTAATTTTCTATGCGAATAGCTCGTCTGTAAATCAAAAAGCAATAAATGAAAAATTGTTTGCAAGTTTGAGCCACTAAACATGCCAGTACCGTCCTCTTAGTGATGTGTTGGTAGGAGAATTTAGTGTCTTAATACTGAGATAATTCACACAAGAAATAATACCCTCTTCATGATGAAAGGTATTAAGACTCTTCAATAACTGTTATATAATAGAAAAAATATGCATAATAGTTTGAGGTTTAGAGGGAAGGTCTGAATGTTTTCATTAGTAGGAGCCTGAGCATCCAGCAAGCATGGGTGAGTGAGAGATAGTGGTTTTAGGGACATGACATGTTGTTGGAGTGTAAGTTAACAATTATGAAGGTGGGAAGTACAGTGCCTGTACTCTAAAGGAGGGGGTGGAGATATTACAGTTCTAAGGGTCATTTGAACTGTGATGTCTGTGCATGTCTGGCAAGATAGTTATTGAATGAATGATGGTGATTGTTATCCCTTGTAGGCCACCCCTACTTTGGTGGCAAACAGCCATGTAGTAAAAGCTAAATATAGTTTTAGGCTCTGAAAAGTATATCATTCATTAATTTAAACTATTTTAAAGCAAATTCTGAATTATCATTTGTCATGTTCCTTCAAGGAAAGAGGGTGTACCTTGATGCCCATGAAGGGCCCTTGATCCAAGGAAGTTGAGTTTATCCTCACTGTCCTCTGCTCAGACTTGATGTCCACACATTTCCTTGGTGCTGTATAAGCTATAGGTTCAGTCTTTTCCCATGAATATAATAATAATGTGCCATTATGTTTGACCTGGTTGGTTTTAACAGTACTTATAAAGAGGTCGAAGTTCTTTAAGCAATAAAATGAAACCTGTTAATATGAGTTTGTATTGTATCATGAGTGGGAGCAGTAAGATGTTAACAAAGAGAAAATGTCATTGCACATTCTTGAACTTTTCCAAGCATTTCAGGTCTTCAGTTTGGCATGTTAGTAGCATTAGCTTGGTGTAAGTTGTCATTCTTCCCAGTTATATTTGTCATTCTCTAATGAAGGTTGCTGCAGGGAAGGTTGGGGAGAGAGGAAGGGAAGGAGAAAGGAACAGGGATGCAGAGTAATGGATCAAAAATGTTCTTTAGTGTTGTACTTAAATTTTGTTTTTTTGTTTTTTTGTTTTTTTAACAAGTCGGCCGTCTACCACCGAGTCAGGATGACTCAAAAAGAAAGAAAATCCCCAAAAAGAAAATACTTTCATCATCATTCAACACTTTCACCTCAATCACACAATCGCTATTTTTGCAGAGGTGCTCAGAACACAACAGTTTAGAAGTATATATGTATAAAAATACACAATATTTCCTTCCAAACTTCCAAAAAAACAAGAAACACCTTGTATATACAGTTTAAAAATACAGTACAGCAAAAGCTATAATCACCAAGTCATTAAATTGTTTTATTTATGGGGAAGTTTTAACCCTATAGGAGTCATACAATACCTGAGGAATGGGAGGTAACTAGGTTTGATTCAAGGGAAGGGTATCTCCAGTTCCTTGCATCAGGAGCCCTTCAGCATAAAGGCACAACGTAGACAACTACTATACCTTCATGGAGGGCGCCTTCATGCTGAAAGGCTCTTGATTGAAGAAACTGGAGCTACCCTTCCCTTGGATCAAACCTGATTGCCTCCCATTCCTCAGGTGCCATACAACCCCTATAGGTTCAGAACTTCTCTATAATAATTTCATGACCTGGTGATTATATCCTCTATTGTATTTTTAAAATATATGCAAGGTGTGTAGTCTACAGTTTTATGTACAACACTAAATAACACTTTTGTACCACTACTCTGCAACCCTGTTCTTTTCTCCTCCTTGCACCCCCCTCCCCACCTTCCTCAAGAAGCACATCCAGTGAACTGGAGTAACCTCACACTAGAGAATGACTAATGTAACCATAAAAAATGACAACTTACTCAAAGTTGATGCTACTATGTGTTCAGCTCAGGATAAGATATGCTGCAAGGACGTAAGAAGATCATTTTGGTGTTATTATTGCATTTTATGCTTTCGTGCGAATATAACATTTGTGTGCAGTGTTATTCTCAACATTACCACACAGCACATACCTAGTGAACTTGTTTCCTGACAGTCAACAAGCACTACACTTCTTGCCATGCCAGCAAAGGCAATGTACCTGGTCACTCTAGCTCTGGAGGTCATGTAACCTGCCATAATATACTAGGTCTTTTATTAATTTTGAAATGCAGATGTTATGGGTTTTATCACCATATGGTCCAAATATTTTCTATTTTTATTTAATTTTAAGCACTAAACCTATGTGAGTCATTTAGTGCACGATGTGGTGAAGGCTTGATCCTCTGTCTCCTGAGTGTGAGACAGATGCACTTCCTATTTATACTCGATCTAGTTGTGGTAGTTTTACAAACTATATTTTTGCTCAATCATTGACTCTTCAAGGGGATCCCCTGAAGGGAAAATAATAGCTCTTGATCCAAGGAACTTGAGCTGCTTTTGATTTCTTTGGATCAAACCTGATTAATGCACTTCCTATTAACTAGGCACTGTATGGTAAAATAATTTTTTTTTTTTTTAATTTTAATTTTAACTTGCAGCTCTTAATTATCTTCACCATTCTAATTCATTCTACTTTATTTAACATGACTTTATCACTTGCATTAAATGTCATTAATTAAAGTTCCCATGCAGTCTTCATGCTTGCAGAGGTAAGAATGACCTGTAATCACTGTTTTGTTCTACCGCTCACATTATAATCGTAACTAAGCACTAAACCCACGAGGGTCATACAGCTCTGCTCTGCTGCTCGCAGGATGAGTCCTGAAGTGCACAATAAACTAGTTGCTCAGGCAACACACCTAATAAACTACAGCCCTTTTCAAGGCAGGTGAAATTGCAGACCTGGAGAATATACTGAGAAATTTTATGGCACGTACAAGCACAATAAAGCACCTAAATTACTGGAACAGTTGAAGTCCCTTGGTTTGTACTCCCTAGAATGCAGGTGAGAAAAATACATGATAATATACATTTGGAAAATCCTAGAGGGGCTAGTTCCAAATTTGCACACAAAAGCAAAAAACTTGGCAGGAGATGCAACATCCCCCCAGTTAAAAGCAAGGGCACCATGAGTATTCCAAGAGACAACATAATAAGTGTCGGGGGCCCAAGCCTGTTCAACTGCTTCCCAGCATACATAAGGGGGATTACCAATAGACCCCTGGCTGTCTTCAAGAAGGCGCTGGACAAGCACCTAAAGTCAGTACCTGACCAGCCAGGTTGTGGTTCGTACGTCAGTTTACGTGTGGCCAGCAATAACAGCCTGGTTGATCAGGCCCTGATCCACCACAAGGCCTGGTCATGGACTGGGGTCATGGGGGCATTGACCCCTGAGACACCCTCCAGATAAGTCCCTTGACCTGTACTCTGGGAAAACAGGCAAGATAGATACATCATAAGTTACACCTGGAAAATCCTAGAGGGACTAGTCCCAAATCTGCACAAACAAATCACTCCATTTGAAAGTAAAAGACTCGTAGATGGTACAACATACTCCCAATGAAAAACAGGGGTGCCATGAGTACACTAAGAGAAAACACTAAGTGTAAGGAGCTTAAGACTGTTCAACAGCCTCTCATAATACATAAAGGTTACTATTAGACCCCTGGCTGTCTCAAGAGGGAACTGAATAAGTTCCTAAAGTCAGTACCTGATCAGCCAGGCTGTGGTTCATACCTGGATTATACCTGGAGAGGATTTTGGGGGTCAGTGCCCCTATGGCCCAGTCTGTGACTAGGCCTTGTGGTGAATCAGGGCCTGATCAACCAGGCTGTTACTGTTGGCCGTACACAAACTGACTTATGAACCACAGCCTGGCTTGTCAGGTACTGACTTTAGGTGCCTGTCCAATGCCTTCTTGAAGACAGCCAGGGGTCTATTGGTAATCCCCCTTATGTATGCTGGGAGGCAGTTGAACAGACTTGGGCCCCTGACACCTACTGTGTTGTTTTTTATTGTGCTAGTGGTGCCTCTGCTTTTCATTGGGGGGATGTTGCATTGTCTGCTGAGACTTTTGCTTTCAGAGGGAGTGATTTTCATATGCAAATTTGGTACTAATCCCTCTAGAATTTTCCAAGTGTATATGATCATGTATCTCTCCCTCCTGCATTCCAGGGAGTACAGGTCGAGGAACTTCAAATGTTACCAGTAATTTAGGTGTTTTATCGCACTTATGCACGCCGTGAAGGTTCTCTGCGCATTTTTTAGGTCAGCAATTTCACCTGCCTTGAAAGGTGCTGTTAGTGTGCAGCAATATTCCAGCCTAGATAGAGCAAGCGACCTGAAGAGTGTCATCATAGGCTTGACGTCCCTAGTTTTGAAGGTTCTCATTATCCATCCTGTCATTTTTCTAGCAGATGCAATAGATGCAGTGTTGTGGTCTTTGAAAGTGAGATCCTCTGACATTATCACTCCCAGGTCTTTTACATTAGTTTTTCGCTCTATTGTGTAGTTGGAATTTGTTTTATATTCCGATGTAGTTTTAATTTCCTCACGTTTTCCATATCGGAGTAATTGAAATTTCTCATCATTGAATTTCATATATTGGTCTACGTGCGGCCAGCAGTAAAGCCTGGTTGATTGAAGTCCTGATCCATTGCGAGGCCTAGTCATGGACCGGGCTGCTGGAGCATTGACCCCCGGAACACCCTCCAGGTATATTCTAGGTAACCTTGCTTTTGTCAGAGTGAATGAATGAGCGAGTGAGTGTAATATAAAGCGTCCCACCCCCACATTATCCCAGCACCTCCTCCCACCCCCACATTACCCAGCACCTCCTCCCACCCCCACATTATCCCAGCACCTCCTCCCACCCCCACATTATCCCAGCACCTCCTCCCCCCCACATTAACCAGCACCTCCTCCCACCCCCACATTATCCCAACACCTCTCCCACCCCCACATTATCCCAGCACCTCCTCCCACCCCACATTATCCAGCAGCCTCTCCCACCCCCACATTATCCCAGCACCTCCTCCCACCCCCACATTATCCCAGCACCTCCTCCCACCCCCACATTATCCCAGCACCTCCTCCCACCCCCACATTATCCCAGCACCTCCTCCACCCCCACATTATCCCAGCACCTCCTCCCACCCCACATTATCCCAGCACCTCCTCCCACCCCCACATTAACCCAGCACCTCCTCCCACCCCCACATTATCCCAGCACCTCCTCCCACCCCCACATTACCCAGCACTTCCTCCCACCCCCACATTATCCCAGCCACCTCCTCCCACCCCCACATTACCCAGCACCTCCTCCCACCCCCACATTATCCCAGCACCTCCTCCCACCCCCACATTAACCCAGCACTCCTCCCACCCCCACATTATCCCAGCACCTCCTCCCACCCCCACATTATCCCAGCACCTCCTCCCACCCCCACATTTATCCCAGCACCTCCTCCCACCCCCACATTATCCCAGCACCTCCTCCCACCCCACATTATCCCAGCACCTCCTCCCACCCCACATTATCCAGCACCTCCTCCCACCCCCACATTACCCAGCACCTCCTCCCACCCCCACATTATCCCCAGCACCTCCTCCCACCCCCACATTAACCCAGCACTTCCTCCCACCCCCACATTATCCCAGCACACCTCCCACCCCCACATTATCCCAGCACCTCCTCCCACCCCCACATTATCCAGCACCTCCTCCCACCCCCACATTATCCCAGCACCTCCTCCCACCCCCACATTATCCCAGCACCTCCTCCCACCCCCACATTAACCAGCAACTCCCCCACCCCCACATTAACCCAGCACCTCCTCCCACCCCC